GTCTGACAGAACCACTCACACAGTACAGGTCTTGCAAAGCTTGATCTTGTTATTAAAATATTTTGTTCTGGTGGTTGGATCTGAATGTATGTGAGACATGATGGTGTGCTGGTTGATTGACTAATAACACTGATTTGACATTATGAATTTTGATATATTTCTCTATAAATTTTATCAAACTTAAAGAGGTTAGACTTTTCAAAAAAGTAATACACCATATATTTTTTCAATAGAGTAAAGAAATTTAAGAATCCTAACAAATTCAACGGCGCGGCAAAGCGCGTCCAACCCTTCTAGTATTATACCAAACTACCAGGTTAATAAAGAAATACATTACTCTGAAATATACATCACATCAGATTATTTTGTTACAACGTGACATCATCAATTGGATTTTCTGCAAAACTCCTTATATCTTTCTCCAAAGTTATTCTTGAAGGAACCCTAGAAAAAGAGTTATTCTTGAAGGACAAGGTGTTCTTCCAGCATTCCAGGTGCCACTGAACTGATCCTAGTCCCACAGATTTTTTTGTCATATAAACATTGAAAAGTAGCTGCACCAGAAAACTGAATTGAGTAATTTAATTCAGTTGAATCAACCATTAGCCAATTGTACTTGTTTCACGGTGCTACTACTCTTATCCATCTAATACAAAATGATTATAACTCAATCTGAAAATACGAGCTGTCATTAAAATCACAATGAAGAACAGTTCAAAGTATGATTATTTTATGAATTTTCAAATATTTCACAATAGAGTACAGTACTTTGTAGTGCAGATCACTTCTATCTGCATACACAAATCAGAAAACTGTAATAATAGGTGTCTAATTTCAAGTTGCTATTTCACAAACCTCTTACAGACATGGAACAATGGAGATTAGCCGGGGCAAAGGCCATAGAGACCCCCTATTGCTCACAGTGCGGGATCCCCCCCACCCAATAACACTAGTCTCTATGTATTTGTTGACTTGATCACCTTTTTTGTAACCTCTCCTCTGCTAAATCAGTGAAAGGAACATTTTTATACGTAGCCTAACAACATCTTAGGTCTAACTTTATGGGTTTAGTTCCCTGTTACACTTGTGGCTTGCCACATTTTCTTGGCCATATCCATATACTCACTACATCCCACAATAAGTGTCTCAACTTTAGTATAACTTCGTAAAGTTGTACTAAAGTTGAGACACTTATTTTAGGATGGAGGAAATATATGATTCAACAATTTCGGCATTTGTGCTGACCAATTTGTACATCACACTTTTCTTTAGCACACTTAGCTGAAGATTAGCTGTGGCCATGTCAGTCATGAACTAAACGTGCTGGTAACCCTAGCTAGCTAAATAATTATTTTACACAAAACTGAGTTGTTTACATACACATATATGTCAAGAGAGATCAGGCGAAAAGTGATGTGATGCGTCGATTCTTCTGCTGGGAACTCCATGAAGTGAGATGAGAATGTCGCCGAACCTCTCTCTAGATATCAGGCGGAAAGTCGTGTTCCTCATGGAGGACATCCGTGCCAAAGTCACGAAGCTTGTGGGCCAACCGTCTCCTGCACCGACATCATGGCCCTTGTGCGCAGGTCTCCGTTGTAGCGATATGTCACTTCTGCAAAAAAATGCATGTGGTCAAACTTTCATAATTATTGCTACTAAATAGTATATATGTAAGAATATTTTTTCCCTATCCACACGCGAAATTACATCTTCTCATGCAACTTGCAGTCAGGTGGCCAACCCTACCAGGTGCCACTCAATAGGCTCGACAGCTTCGAGCACGCGCCACTGAGGTTCGTGGAGGAGCTCCCACCCCCACCTTCAACATTGACCAACTTATAGCTGCCTTCAGTAGTGGCAGCCTCGACGAGAAAGACCTCGCGGTGCTCCCTGGTGCGCACACCATTGGGAAAGCTCGTTGTGCCACCTTGAGCAACCGTTTCCCCAACTCCGACTCTGATGACTTTGTCCGAAAGCTACAAGATAACTGCACCGCCGATGCGCACCGGTGTCAGGACCTGGATGTGAACACCCCGGACAGGTTCGACAACAAGTACTACATGAATGTCAAAAAGGGGAAGGGGGTGCTCACCTTCGACATGCAGCTCCTCCTCAACGAGACCACCCGAGGGTGCGTAAATGATTTTGTGGACAACGAATGGTGGTTGTGGAACCTGTTCTGCAGTTCGATGAGCAAGATGGGGATTTTCTAGGGACCCCAAGGGAACGTCGGCCGCATCTGCCTGTACTGCTGCTAATCTCATCGTATGTCCAAGCTAGGCGGTGTTTGCTGCCTGGCTGAGTTCTCCTTGCTTCACATGCGATCTTTTCTTTTTCAAATAAGAAGAGATCAGTAGATCACATACTCCGTAAGTATGTTGAAGACAACTGTTAATGTCCAAGTAATAAGATATTACAGGCTAGGTCTACCTTCTTTATCACATGGTATTTACTACTTCTAGTACTTACAGACTATCAGAGTTGGAGGCCGTTCGGAATCTCATCAAAATAGTTGGAGAATATGAGTTTGTCTAATTAAGACCATGACCACTTTTTTTTCACAAAGACCACCTCTGATTTGTTTCTTTTCTCAACTCGAAAAACTCAACCCTCACCAATAGGGGTCCAATTTCGATGAAGCGGTGGAGGTTTCATGTTTGTGCATATGTGATGATTCCTCAAAAGAAAAGAAAAAATCATGTACATGATAGAAGTTATGAACCATGGAGGAATATCCTCTGGCCGAACATCTCCGTTTTTGTATGAATGCGCCCTCTTGTCATAGGAATTTGTAAAAGTAGCATTTGCACTACAATTTCTATAGAGGTCAGGTGAAGATTGATATGCTTACATTTGACGAGGATGGTATTTATATGTCGCGGAGGAAAGCTAATTTTTTTTTTTCATGTTCAGTATGAACGTATCCCCAAATTTTGCAATGTTTGTGGCCATCAAGGTCCCAACTTTAAGGAGCATGACAATGGCATTCATGCGCTGAGAAACTTCAAATTTGGAGACTAGCTGCTGGTTGAACCGGCATGGAACTATCGAATGGTGGTAAAGGACCAGGCCGTGACACCTTTTGGAACACAAAATATTGACGGAAGATTGTCAGGGCAACTTTTCATTGACTAAAGAATATGAGATCGGCTACCGAGTGTTCAACAATGTATCAAAGAACTACAAGCATTAGCAATACAAGGCTTAAGATCGGCGCTGTGTATGCAACTAGACCAAAATCCTATCAATGGTGTCTTAGGGGTATGTGGATAAACTGGTAGACTATACTCCTTCCAACAGTGTGCTAGTTGACAAGATCGTTAGTAAACCGGTGAAAAGTTTGCACTAGGGTAGATGTTTGATTCCTGAAGAACCTCGCATTCCACTTCTTCAGCGTGAAGCTCTGTTCATCACACTAGTGAACAAGAGTGGGATACTCTACATGCATCGATGTGGACTAATTAACATGCTGACCACATGATAAATGTTTTGCCTCACCGTCGCTAGTACACTGCGGATCCTTCTTCCGGCATCAGCTCCGGTGCTAGTAGGACTCCTTTTGTGGGGTATGGTTTCCTTATGGTCTCTCATTTCCTTTTCTTTTCTGGAAAAAGATCAACATCTATTATAAAATTTTATCAGAAGCACAAAACACCTTAAAGATAAAAAAAATACATCAAGGTCTCTATGCCACCGAATGGCCATTACCGCCGCCAGAACGAGCCGTCGACACGCTAATGTCGCCGTTCCACTACCGGAGCCAGTTTGACCTTATTGATGACAACCGGAAACACATGCTTCTAAGGACTAGCGCCCTGGAGCCGCAATCATTGTCATTGAACCCTAATCTTGCTGCCCAAAGGAAGCGGCTGAAATCTACTCCGGGGCTCCATCGACTACATCTAGATAGACAAATTCGAGGAGAATTGAAGCCCTGAAGACAAACTCGAAGAGGAAGCGCCACCATCCGTTCGAGCACCGCACGCACGAGGACTAAACCTAAACTACTAGCCGTAGTGCAAGCAGAGAGGAGGTGAGTCCACAGTCTCACCGGCGAAGCTTGTAGGAGAAAGTTTGCCTTAACCGCCGAGGAAAAAGGAAGAAAAAGCTTCACCACACTTTTTTATGGCACAACTTCTCTCTCTCTCTCTCTCTCTCTCTCTCTCATATGGGACACGTGTGTAGGTCTATCGGATTCAAAACAGATGAAGAAACAAACTACTAAAATGAGCATCGTCCATGCGTGAAAAAAGGAACTCGGCCACTTAGCTCACATATCCATACACCTTCTAAGATCGACCAGGTCCTTTTATTACTGTCTTGATTTTATCGGTGATAAAAACACGTTTGCATTATTGATTTTTTTTTCTTGTTGCTGCTGGAAATACATCTGTGTACTACTAGCTAGTAGTATTTATGTACATATGATTATCTTTAGAAAAAAACACCGTCTATTATTTCACTGTGTAAAAAACGTGCACAGCAATCATACATTCACACAAAAACACCAAAGAGGGTGAAGAATTAGTCTTTTTTATTCAGCAATCACACGCACGTACTAGAGAAAGATGGGCTGGATGTTAGCCCCACCAGGAGTGGATACGATAGCATAGGCCCAGCCCAGCACTAGCATCTCAGGGCCCATCCCAAATAGTTCACCGCCGAGCGATCTGCTTAAAAATCCCTTGCCGAGGGGCCCCGTGGCTAGGGCAAGAAAAAACCCGATCGGGATCGATCTATCCATGTTCTCGCCGGCGGCGAACTGCGAGCACCCTCCTGCGCCGGTCACGGCCTCCTCCGCCACCTGCTCAGATGACGACCTGTCTCCCCTGACGTCCCTGCCGGCGGATTTGGTTGAGCTCATCGGCTGGCGGGTGCTGGCCGGAGACCTGGTCGACTACATCCGCTTCCGTGCAGTGTGCACGCACTGGCGGTCCAGCACCGTCTGCCCACGCGGCCATGGCATCACCGACTCGCGCTTTCATCCGCGTCGGTGGATGATGCTGCCGGACGGCCACGGACTCCACCTTGGTGATGGCAGGAAAGGTTTCCTCAACCTAAGCACTGGAGTATTCGTCCATCCTCGAATCGCTCTTCTCGAGGACCACTGCGTCCTCTGCTCAGTCGACGGCCTCCTCCTCATGCAGAGGCAACATGGCGAGCAAGACGACCCTATATGCCTCCTCCACCCCTTCACGGGAGACGTGGAGAAGTTCCCGCCAATCACGTCTCGCACGGTGCTGGGCACAGGATCAACCCACTTCAATTCTCACAACGGATGTACTTACTTATTGCCGGGCAGGGTAACTGCCTCCTTGAACATTAATACCGAAGGAGTCGCTATGATCACCGTCGTGCTTGAAGATATGCCACGCCTACTCTTTGCTACCACCAAGGACAAGCAATGGAGAATGTCAAGCTGGAGCTTCTCCCCAAATGAGAGCACCATATCATCACGAGGAAAACTTTACATGTTGCAACCAAAGCCCGCTTCCAGCGTTGAACTACAGATTTTACAGATCGACCCACCTTGGCCCGAGAAGAACTCAGGATCCAGTCCGTCTTTGTTTCCGGCACCAAAGGTGATTGCCATATGTCTGACGGGCATGATCAACGGCCTTCCCGAATTAGTAGAATGTGACTCAGAGATCCTACTCGTCGGTTCTTGTGATTACGTGTTCTTCAAGCACATGGTAGTCTACAGAATAGCGGATCTTATCCAAGGAAGAGTTGTTCATCTAACAAGCATGGGGGGCAATGCTCTCCTGGTTGGTCTTAGAAGCAGCGGCAGTGGTATCGGAAGGAATTTATGTGTCAGCTTAAAGGCAATGCCAACCATTGCAGGTGACACCATTGTACGTCAGGATCCCACATATGCAAAATATCTTGAGCAATATCACATTGGTACCGGCACTTGGTCCCCAAGAGGTATGATATGCGCCATATATGGTGGTTATGGATGGTGTACTTGTAGCCTCATCCACCACATTTACGGAGCCTGTCATTGTTTTGATGAGCTAGGTTTTCCACTCATAGGTTTCCCATTCCTAATTTACTTACCGTACTGAACCGTTGAAGTTAATTACTACCTACGTATACGTTTGCAGGACTAGACAAGCAGGTGTGATGCTACTTGTTTTGCGTAGATTTGGTTTCTTTTGATGTAAAGATACTTTAAAATTATTTGACTATTATACATGTAGTCTCCCTGGTACATGCAAAGGTGTAGGAAAGAATGTACTGATCTTTATTATTACATCACCTTGGGGTAAAAAAATTAGACTTCTGGATTTAATAAATATTTTTTTCAACCGCCTTAGTTACTACATGTACGGAACTGCTTCACAAACGACAAATGTGTGCACGATCACTGCACGATACGTATCTAGGGCCTGCTGCCTGCTGTTGCCATGCAATGGACGGAGCTGATTGCCTTGTCGTGCACACATCGTGTGTATAGCACTGCTCCTACATGTATGGCGGGCGCGCGTTGTCCCCCGCTACTGTAAACTTTTGGAAATTTTGTTAACTATGGTGAGCAATTTCTGTGCCTGCCACTGGTACCCTACAACCCGGTGGCAGGCTCTAGTTTTCTGCCCTAATTTTGTCCCACGGCGAATGTTGTAAAACTTAAGAATGTTGTGAAACTTAAGAGTAGCGGCCTAGTGGGTGTGGGTGGCTACTAGCACCGGCCACAACCGTCCGTTTAGAGCATCTCTCGCCGTTCGGCACCCAGGGCGTCGAAAAAAAGCCGCCTGGGGGCGAACCGGCGCTAGATTGGTCCTTGGAGGCGATCT